AATTTTGTTACCAGGTAACGTGAAGTTACTCGGTTGTCCTGATTTAATTTAAAGAAGTGTCCTTTCTACATGAAAGGACACTTCTTTCTCTGGTTTACAAATGCGTGACCAAATATAAGAACAGAACTAGGTGCGTTTAGAAAAATATTTATAGCTTATTACACAACACATAAGGGGTAAAACACAAATTGGTTGCGTCGGTAATTGTTTCAGACATTAAAAAAACACTTAAAAACGTATTTTCATAATCTTTAGACATTTTTTCTTTTTTTGGACAACTTTTAATAAAAAAATACACCAGATTAAGAGAAAAAAATAAACAAGTTTTATCGGTCTTGGGTCAGTAGAACCGTTGACAAGACTATACTTTTTATCACTAGTGATACTAGTTTAATAATTGTTGTATCACCATTGATAGTACAAAGTGTGCAAAGTTGTTGTATCATTAGTACCATTGATGGTACAAAGGATACAAAGCTGTATAATAGTAGGATAATGCTAATAACCTGAATAATGTATGTACAACTAAGCGAAGTCGAAGTACTGTTGGAGTACTAAGATCCAGGAGGTTAATTGACAGGAAGAATAAATACTATATAAACTTAAATGATAATACTGGCTACTTCAAATGACTTAATTAAACGACTTACTCAAGTAATTATTTTCACAGTGAAATGGTCATGGTTTTAATCACTCAATATTAAAACATAAATAGATTGACTTTATTATTAAAATGTTTCATTGAAATGCTCAAAATCATGAGGAAATGTTTTCGCGCCGACAAACAGTTTTATTTAATGAAAATATTTGTCCTCATTATCTATATATTGCTGCCATCTAAACGGAAGTTCATTTACGATAGAAGTCTGGGGATCTAGATTCGACAAACTGGGTGAAAAGATTTTGTACTGCTTCCTGGGAAGAAACTTTTTATCACGTAGAAAATTGTCCAAAACACGAGAAAATTGTAGTGCGTTGGAGCACGGTCTGACAAGTACGAAAGATGACGTATGATTTCTAACTGTGGCTTCTGTAGAGTTATAACGGTTTCTCGTGCAATGTGAGGTCTTGAGTTATCATGAAGCAATAATGGTGAAGATCTATGTATTCAAAAATGACTCGGCTGTTCGAAGTATTAATCTTTCACGTCTAGGTATCATGTGAAAAAAGTTTTACACGAAAATCTTTAAAAAAACCATGAAGTTTTTATGTAAAATCAAAGTATACTTTACCACGGCAATTTCTTACTTTAACCCCTGTCATTTGGACATCATAGAAAAATTTGGTCCGACTCATGTTATGACTGTTTACTAGCACTTGTATCACGAGTTCCATCAATACCGAATACGAAGCAATACCTTTTCTTATTTTTAATGGTACTAGTGATACATAGTTAGATGAATTTCACCACCAATGTTATGGGTACCATAACATTGATACAAAGTGGTGTCACTAGTACCATCAATGGTTCTAGTCAATGGTATTATTGACACAATGCCGTTTTATCTACTAATTATAAAATCTTTAAATTATTCATTAAATACTATTAGGAATAATAAACGGTATTTGTTATCATAACTCAAAATATTATACCTTAGAACATATCCAGGAACGCAATTTCAATTGCAAATATTACATCCGTGCTTCATCATAATGGAGCACGGGCGTGATATCCTATTTGCACCTCGATTAATTACACGCTACAATAGAATTATCAACCAAACTAAAAAAAATATTTTTCAAAAATAGAAGTGGAAGTAAGATATTTACTTAGAATAGGTATACTTTGTAAATATTGATGCACTAGGATATTTATTTACTACCGTAGTTGACTAGTTGACCGACAGGCACACATACAATCTTATTGTAACTGCCTACCAGTGATAATACACTACCACAGTATTATTTTAAGTTGTATGTACCTATCTCTTAGCTTGTGGCGACTTCCGTATACTGCTAATCTTGTATCGCCTTAATAACAATTCTCTTGCCGATTGACATATATATATGTATGTATACAACTTCCCAACATCAACCGTTCGGTCGCGGTCCGCCCCGATCCTCCTTTTGTATTGGAGGGACATAACACCCGTTCCTCTACAAGCTCTCTAACAATATTACACACAATGCTACACGTAGTTTGGGATTTTATCAGTCGGGTGGCAATTCGATACTTCATTGTATCTTCATGAAGTCCAAATCTAAACAAAAACAAGCGTAACCTTATTTGCTAAATACGGTTATATCTAGGAATTCTAATCAATGATGTCCAAATCTGCACAGGAAACAGGCTAAATGCTCCTGACAATCTTAAATGATTGCGTATTTTGCTGATGTAACCTTAGCTTGCGTAGTATACTATTATTTAAATATACCAAAACAAATCTCAGTCAGATCTTGTCGGTCAGGATATTGACAAGGATGTGAAGAAATAAAAACGGAAATACATATTTCAACGTAAATTACCTAACCGTGTGGTTGGTCATACAAAGATATTTTAGTATATTTCTTATCAGAAAACCAGATCCTATGTTTTAGTTTTCTGTATAGGTGTGAAATACTCTATAGTAGTGAGAGCTTAGCACATTTGACTGATATACCGGGTCTACCAATAGGGATGACCTGGTTTTGACAGCTCATAGCGGCCATGTTTGACGATGGCTCTTTGACGTCTCTTGATATTTGTGTTCAGTAAGGTTTGCCATTTTATCATGTCACGTTTCACTTTAAACCAACGCTTGGAAATTGACCAAAATTATTACGCAAATTTCTCCGCCGCTATTTTCCTACCGCTACAGTAAGAGCGCTTCGCGCAAAAAAACGGTCGTCATAGTGCTCCTTCTGTGCGCGCTATAAATCGCATAATAACAAAATTTGAAAATGAATTCACTCTCCACGATACTGCTGTGCCTGTGAGACAAAGAAATGCCATGAAATGCAATGAAAAATGAAGAGAATATTGCAGCCGTTCAGGCCAGTGTTGATGCGAATTCTAATCGATCAGTTCATCGCCGTTCACAAGAGTTGGGGCTCTCTCCAATGACCACCTGGCGTATTTTGCGGTTGGATTTGGGCCTACACCCATACAAAATTGTTTTGGCACAAGAATTGAAGCCATCCGACCATTGTATTCGTCGTGAATTTGCCGATTATGCACTGGAAGTGATGGAAGCCGATGACGATTTTCATCGTAAAATCATCTTCTCAGATGAGGGCCATTTGGCCAATGGATTTGTTACTTAACAAAATTGTCGCTATTGGAGTGCACCATTGCATCGGCAAAAAATAACAGTTTGGTGCGGTTTATGGTACGGTGGAATTATTGGTCCGTACTTCTTTGAAAGTGACGAAGGAAACCCTGTTACTGGAATGGCGAGCGCTATAACTCGATGTTAACCGAATATATTGTTGTCCGTGTGGTAACGGATTAAGAATACAGAGTGTCACCACCCCTATTCATCCCGTGGGTGCCGACAAAGGGAAAAAACTACGCAGAACGCCAACACTGCAGAGAGAAGGAACACTTGACACAAACCCTATACCAACCCGTCTGGCCAGCGTGGCATAGTAGGCCAAAACCTCCTTTCTAAGGAGAGGCTAATGCCCAGCAGTGGACTGTTAAAGGCTGTTGATGAACCGAATATTTATTTCCGGAATTTGATGATATTGATGCAGACGATTTTCAACAAGACGGTGCACCACCTCACATTACTCGAGTGAACATGAAATTATTGCGTGGAAAGTTTGGTGAGTCGTTAATTTCGAGAAATGGACCGATCAGTTGGCCACCAAGATCATGTGATTTAACACCTTTAGACTATTTTCTTTGGGGTTACGTTGAATCTAAAGTGTGCAATAATCCAGCTACAATTCGTGACCTAAAAACCAACATTCGACGAGCCACAGCCGACATACCGGCCGAAATGGTGCAAAAAGAGCCGCGGCGGTCATTTGGCCGATATATTATTTAAAACATAAATTGCATAAAATTATCTATCAAATAAATCAATCGTATGCATTTTTCAAAAAAAAATGTGTGTTTTATTCAATGTTTAAACCAGGACGTTCTTATTTGTAGACCCCATACATTTGTATATAGCGATTGACTGATATACTATATCAGAAAATCCTTCCAAACTCAGGCTCAAAATTTAAATTATTAGTTTTTAATACATATACCTGCAATTTGTGTGTTAGTCGCATAGCTATGCGACTAACACACGAATGTAAAATAGACAAATTTGTTTAGTTCTATAGTCTAGAAAACGAAGAAACACTTTTAGTTTCACTTTATTTTGTAAAGAAATACATACTATACTAGCTGACCCGGCACACGTTGTTTTGCCGTATACATTATTTAAAAAAAAATGTCAAGAAAAGAAAAAAAAAATGGGTATGAAAAATAGATGTTGGCCGATTCTCAGACCTACCCGATATACGCACACCGTGACGCGAGAATTTTATATAATAGATATATATAGATATATATATACAAACACACGTACCAATATAAATAAATATATTCACGTATACGGATATTAACAATACCAGGAAATTGGAACCACTGCAAACAAATAGTAGTAGGTCGCCTTTGTCTTCATTTTATCTGTAGTAATATAAAACTGAAGAGTTTTTTTTGGCATCTTTAGATAATATAACTATCGGTCCCATTCTTTAGTCGATATTATGTTACAACACCAATTGAATTTCTATTCAATTGGTGTTCAGAGTAACAGGCAAAAGAACAAAGTACCGCCTTTTTACACTGTATAGCCACGCCCATTTATAGCAAATATATAATTTGAATTTGAATTTGTAGTATGAACTTAAAAAGCTTTAACGGCAAAGCCTTAAAAATCTCATACATTATAAGGATGTGAAGACTATGACACGGTTTTGCGGATCCCTTGATAAAGGGCCAGCCAGCTAGGAAACTTATCAAAATTTAAATTACATTATAATAAGTAACAAATACTTGATTAATTTAGAAAACAATATTTTTAAGACTTACTCGTTTCTGGCAAGCGATGTATGGAGTACACTACTGCTTCGTGAACTTCTGGGAGGCTGATCGGAGTGGTTCGTATCCTCTCCTCTTCGGCACTCTTTTCTAAACTTTGCAAGTATATGGAGTATATGCTGGCTGTGCATCGAATCTGCGAATAGGTAAAGTGCTTTAAAATAAATAATTTTAGTACATTAGGAGAGAAACAGAATATTTCACCAACAGTGATTGAGTAAATAAATATATATCGAAACGATAACAAACGATGGCAGGTCCACAACCATTTGAACAATCTAAGAAAGTAGCTAGAATCGATTGGATGCGGAAGGTGGAGGGTCGGCTGCTATGACACAAATTAGGGAAGGCTTATGATCAGCAGTGACACAGCAGGATGCTTATGTATTTGATTGATATTCATTGTAATAATACATACTTCACGAGGCTGCCGACATACTGCTAAGCAATTTTTTCAGAGGTTTTTCCTTCGTCGTCCTAAAAGATTTTCATTTACTTGCTAGTCACCCTGACTAGCAAGTAAATGAAAATCAGTTTGGGCTAATTGGAACTATTCTAAGCCCAGGTTTGTTCGCCGCTAATCAAACTGATACACGGATTAATATGGACTCTTACACTTTTTACTTGCGTTTGTTTTCAAGGTAATCAAACGTGTCAAGTGTCGGTGATCCAACTCTAACATTGCTCCCGTTATTTTGTTTATATTATTGTTGGTAATATGTTAAAAATAAATAAAATGTTAAAATTAAATGGTTGAAAATAATATTTTCAATTAAAATAATGACATACATCCATTTGCAAATTTTAAAATAATAGTAATAATAAAATTCGACTTCTTAGAACGTATAGAACTAAACGGCTCAAAGTAGCGTGCCCGCGACTGACGACCAACGGTGGCGTGACTTGCAGCGACCAGTCGAAAGAGGTGAATTGCGAATGCGCAGTATCGTGCTTTTTGTTATCTATTTTATTGTAATAATGGATGCAGGAGACTTCATAGATGCACTTCGTAACCGCCCGTAAATTTTCCCTTGTCTTGTCATCCTTTTGATGACACGAATCTATAAAACAGAATTTTTCAACAATAAAAGTTTTGATGCTATATCCTTTTCCGCTCTCATTACTCTTTTACACGAAATCAAACAATTAGTATGTTCAGTACTAGCCCCAAATAGGCAACTAAATTATGAATATGCATCATCATAGTCGCGCATCGCTAGTCACCTGCACGCTACACTGTTTTTCGTAGCTGGAAGTCGCCGAATATGGGCGCGACCGAAATCGCGCGATATCGCTGACACGCTGCACAAACCCTAACATTATTTATCTAAAAAAGCGGCACTTACCTTAATTTTTCCCCTTACAAAGTGATGTTTTTGTACGACAAACTGTATGGTGCTGTAAGCTGTCATAGGACTTGACACAGTCTCTCCGTCTACTCGATGCAAAACATGCTGACTCAGGGCCTATGAAGATAAAATTTACGATTAGTGAAAACCTTGCGTGACGCAACAGATAAGAACAAAAAACTTTCGCTTTCCCTTAAACCAATATGGGTCTTAATAGACGTTACTTCGTCTATCCATACAATAGTGTAAAATTGTATAAGACTATCCACATTTGGTTAATGTTATTACACTTTTAATATCTTCAGCGGCAGGTATAATGACAAAAAGCCAAATAAAGGTTTTCAAGCTCGCAAAGTGATCTGTAAACGTTTTTACATTTACTTTATTCATTGTTTAGTTATAAAATACATAAAAACAAGATCATAAACTTTTCATGAGAACTAAAAATTAATAGATGTATTTAGAGTTACCTTGTTGTAATCTACATTTTAGACAGACTTTAGACAGACAGTACTTCAAAGAGACTACAAGGGACTATTGCTATTATAATGTTACCTGTTATAAAGAGGGTACTTATTATAGCTTTTTAACTTAGATTTGAAATTATTTTTTAATTTTTAGTGCTCTCTGTCAGTATTATTTGAAGTCGGTTCATTTTTTTTAAAAGGATTTATTGGTCTTTATATTGCCTCATAGGTACTTAATTTTTATTCCTGTTATCATCAGCCTTTAATAGTCCACTGCTGGACATAAGCTTCTCCTTAGAAAGGACGTTTATTTCTTTATGTAATTCAAAATGGGCAACACGTTTATAGTCAATATAAAAATTAGTACAGTGTTCATTTACCTTGAATTTCTTTCCCCATATATTAAACGTTTACTTATAGAAGCCTTTTTTCACAGTAGGTACTCTTAAGAATGGTAGTTTAAAAGATAATTAGGGATTTTAAACTGTTATTGCAAGTAAAATAAAGAGTTTACCAGGTAACAATACTATACTTGAAAAGAACTAACACGACACTTAGATGAACGATTTTGAGCCGAAAAAACAGCTGTAACTCCTGATCTTCTCTTTACACGTCTCCTCTCTATACTCTTATTTACCTGTATCTACTTTTTAAGGTTGTCCTTTGTGTACTTTATACAATAATAAGTATTATTATTTTGCACTTTCATAAATGGTATTACTAACAAAGCCTTAATGTATAGATTTAGCCGGTGAGATTGCCAAGGCACGTAAAAGCAGTTTGAAAGACCATTTATCAATGTTTTCTAAATTTTATCAGGAAGAAGAAATAATGAATATCATGGTTAATAGGATACATTTTTGCTGAAATGTATGTAGAAATCTATAAGGTTAAGTTAACCTTTGTCTTTTTTTTATGGAATAGGAGGTAAACGAGACGAGACCTGATGGAAAGCGACTACCGCCGCCCATGAACGCCTGCAAATTTAGGAGCCACAAGCGCGTTGCCAGCTTTTGAGGAAGGATCAGCTCTTTTCTTGAAGGTCGTATCAGTCCGGAAATACCGCAGCCTATAACTTGTTATACAGATTGGTAGTGCGAGGCAAAAAGTGTCTTGAAAATCGCACAGTGGTGGAGCGCCAATTATCCAAGTGGTGGGTATTAAAAATTTTGCCGAGTAGAACGATAAGGCGGAAGGTTATGGCCGGTATTAGTCGCCGGGTTAGAGCCGGTCGCAAATCTTTTGGCTATTGACGATTCGAGTCGCTGTTCTTTGGATACGGTCCAGAGCTCTCTCTGCTGGTACTGTGGTGGCCCTGCATAGAAATGAGAACAACATCCCATATGTGATTGTGTATATAGGTGTATTCCATGTATGTATTATAGTGTTGGAGGTGATGGGCTGAGTGAAATACTGTATTGATCTGTTCAGCACACCGAGTTTCTATGAGGATAATTTGACCTTACCCTCTAAATGACCGCGAAACTGGACTTCGCTCGATATCTTGATTGAAATACTGGCAGAGGCAGTTAGGGAGGTGCTCTCGAACCGAGGCGATACGACAAACGGTATATTTTTAGTGGTGAACGCGCAAACCTGTGCCTGTTTTGGGTTAAAATGGACCAGATTCAGTCGACCCCAAGCTGAAACCTGCGCTAAAGAAGTTTCAACTTCAGACACAAGTTCGTTTCGACTCTCGATGACGTTTTCACGAGAAATATTTGGACGGCCGGTATAAAAGGCATCTCCCGTGCTATCATCTGCATAGCAATGGATGCCACTAGTTCGTAACATATCATTGATGCAGAAGAAACAGTGTGGGTGATAGCACACAGCCTTGCGGGACAACAGCATTTACTGCCTTCAAGTCGGAGCATGCACCGTCGAAAATGACCTTATTGCTTCTACCTGCAAGTAAACTGGTGACCCAGTTACATAATTTCGCGGGAAGTCCTTAGAAAGGGAGCTTCGAGAGAAGTGCCCTACGCCACATCTGATCGAAGGCCTTCGCTATGTCCAAGCTTACCGCACAAGTTTCTCCCTTGGTCTCGATCGCCTGTGCCCACGGGTATGTTAGATAAACGAGAAGATCACCAGCTGAGCGACCTAGGCGAAAACCATGCTTATTGTCGTTCATTGATTGGTTGGTAATTTTCTAAGTACCGGAGGAGCTGCCAGTTATTCTTATTCTACCGAAAGAAAACCTTAGGTACTATATTTTGATTATGACAATGAATGTTCTTTTGGTTAAATATTCAGCAAACAATCGTTGTCTTATACTGAAAAAGTATTGAGGTTTATTTAACATCTACAGACAGTCTTCGATAAATAAGAATCTGAATAATGAAACAGCGTTTCATTCCCTTTCAACAACTAGTTAGTAATTTATTCATGAGACCATTACTGACTGAAAGCTCAAAGCAAGATTACGCCATACTACGGCGTCAACACCATTAAGTTATACTTAAGACACTGCTTATTTTTCCTAGCATTGAGGATATAAATGGATTATCTTATTAGAGTTTCTATATCGTATTATTTTAGTAGTTAGAATATTCCTCCTGTTATAAAAAACAAAAGTTGACAATACCAATGATCCTTTTTAAATGAATCTCGGTATCTCGTACACATTAATGGTCATTGATGCATATACTGATACATCATATACTCACGCCGGTTGTAAACTATAAGCACTTATGCTGTTTATTACCTGGCACATGACTAATTAGTCAATATTTTTCGTCCTGAAAGATAATGACTGACACCTACATAATACCTCATTTAGTCCCTGGCAAGGTCTACACAAATAAAAAGCGGACTGTATTTTACGCTGGTATATCGGCAAATAGGCACGCTACAGAGTACAGTGATCCCGATCAAGTACATAGTGGTGCATTACTAGCATTACTACAAGCATTACTAGTGGGAGCCGCAGCGCCCGCGCCCCGCTTCTCCTTGCCTCCCCCGCCATCTGCGCCGCGCATCGTTCACTAGCGGTTCAGCCAGTTAAAAGCGCCTGCCCACCGCGAGGCTCGAGGTTTGATTCTCTACAGTCCCTATTGTATTATTTAGGTATTGTAAAAAAATAAATAATCAACTAAATTCCATATATCTTTTTGTTAAGATAAAATCATGGTCATGTTCATTTAAACATTAATCTCTTCTACTATCGTTTGGTTTAATTTATCGATCATATTAACAAACAGTTAATGTTATTTCTTGTTTTTGATGTTCTGTGCTGTGAATTGTTCCCATTAAAAACAAGAAATCGTATGCAGAGATTTAGTAGATAATAGATTATAATTAAAAAAACGAAAAATCACTCATTTGTTGCTAGCCGAACTAAAAAGTAAGAAATAATTTTCTGTAAGCTCAAAAAGAAAAATCGTTTTATCGTGAAAAAGTGTGGGGTGCTAAATCTCAATTGTTGTGAAAATATTTTACTGACAGATTTTGGTAAAAGTAAAGTTATTATATTATAAAATACCTTTAAAAGCACCCTACGCTTTTTTACGATAAAATGAACGAATGATGAAAAATCTTTTTGAAGTTATAGAAAAGCATGTCTTTTCAGTTTTTTTAAACTATTAAATTCTTTTTTAGTCATTAAAAATGATTATTATCCTAATAAGACTAAAAAAATAACAAGGAAGTTTATCACATATGTTTCAGCACACGCCTTAGTACGTGGTAAAATACACTAACTACTGTATGTTTAGGTAATGAAGAAGCCGTTAATCTTGAAGGTCCTGATCAAGATAATGTGACCAACTGTTTAAATTCTGCGTTGTCATCGATCCTTGACAAGTGAGCAAAGGTTCAATTTAATTCGACGTTTTGAAATGGGTCAAAATCACGGTCGAAGATTCCATGACATAAATACATGCCAATGTAATAAAAGCGTGTTAAAAAAAACTTGAATTACTTACGGACCCAATTGAGAAATGACCATTCTATAAACGTGTATTGTACGATAAATGTAATGCATTGTATCTGACAACCCAATTTCAATATTCGATTTATTCTTGCCCTAACAACAAATATAGGTAATCAATTACAGTAAGGTGTATTGTAAGCTTGTTGGGCAATTTATTCTAAAATTGTTTATTTCTTTATGGTACACGGGACAAACGAGCAGACGGGTCATCTAATGGAAAGTGACTACCGCCGCCCATCTCGTCTGCAACTCAGCCACAAGCACGTTTTTTTAAAATTAATCTTTATAACACCAGGGACGGATGGCGTAGTAGCGCTCAAGCGGTCACCTCGCCGTTTCCTACTGCGCTGAGTGTTGTGGTTTCGATCCCTACACGAGACCACACTTTGTGTGATCCACAAATTGTTGTTCTGAGTCTGGGTGTTCTTTGTATGTTTTTTCATGTATCTTTTTAAAATCCACCGTGATAATATTTTCCTATTGCGGGAATTGTATTTTATAAATAAGTGGAAGAAAGAAAAATAACTATTATCTAGAAAAAGTACTGTTTTCGAGGGATAGCTGAATTTGAATTGACAAAATCAAGATTACCATGAGCCCTGGCCAATCCGGGCAAGACCTGGTTAAGCAGTCAATAATTAGAAATAATTACAATGCCATCTTTACTACTGCAACACAAAAAAGATGAAGATCAAATTCCATAAACCATTCATTTCGTGTTTCATTATTAGAGGACCTTTATTCAATGGACCTCGGTTTTACATATTTTGCCAGAGTTAATATCATTAGACCTGTAGAGTTTAAATGAATCTCCTACTCTTTCCAGCTAACGATTGTTGTTCATTTTTTCAGTCCAGAATGTATTTAGGTAGACACCTGTTCTTAAACAGTAGGCTTCTCGTTTAACAAGACAGGTTATTCGGCTGAGCTCTGATAACAGTACATGTTCGACCTCGGGCATATCAGACCTATCATTTCACAGGTCACGTCTATCATTTGCGTATGGCATCTCCTGTAGTAATGAAAGTACGAATATCTTTGTAATAGTGATATGTTCAAATCATATTTGAGATAATTAACTGTCTAACAATTACGTGTCTCACATTTTAGGATATTCATTAGTATACATATACTTTTAAATATACTTTTTTTATAATAATAAGAATTTAATAGTATTCAACCACATTCACACAACGCCATCTCGTCCCAAACTAAGCTGAGCTTGTACTATGGGTACCAGACAACTGATATAAATACATTTTTTTTGTACATATATACATATTATACGAGTACATGTAAACATCCAAACTAAATCAAACATTGAAAGTTCATGCACAAAAATATTTCGACCCCGCGACCTTTGGAATAGCAGTCCGTTACACAAACCACTACACCATCCGGTTTTCAAAGCCATAGAAAGAAACTTATTGAATACTTACCTATATTTTGCTAATTATAGTTTGGTCCCAGTCACGTAAAAGGAGCAAACCTATAACAGCCAATCTTGCGCTTAAAGAATTAAATGTAAAGGTAGTTTAGAGAATAGAAGTCATTGCCTTCTTTCAATTGAGAAAGTAGGGTATATTCTACGAGTATATGCCGATGTATGTTGGAATTTGGAGTAAGTCAGGCTCGTATACATGTACCTCTAATTATCTCTTTCCGAGAAGTCCAGAAATAAATAAATATCCAATATTAAAAAATATCAACATCGTTGTTAGTTTTTGTAAAGGAAGTCTATTAACATCATTTAATTAAATTTAAATCTATCTATTTTTACTAGTATGTTATGAGCTTACTTACTGCAAATCCGATCATCATGTTCATGAGATATGGCAAATTACTATTGCCGAAGTGAAACTGTAGGAAAAAGTTTGTAATCTATATGATTTTGATGAGGTTTTCGAGGATGACGTGGGTCATAAATTTAGCAGCACTCTCAGAAGAGCTGCATATCATTTGAAATTTTATCCCAAGCGCAGTTGTAAATTAGAAAGGTGTCAAAAATCTGTATGTTTGCACAGCCTTATAATCAAAGCAACTCTTTCACACACAAAATTATTTCTTAATTTTAACAGGTTAAGAGAGAACATTATTACTCTTTGTAAGAGAAATTTAGCTTCTTTTTAAGCAATAAACATTCCCCTGCTTAATTTGAGCTTACAGATTTTAATTAAACTCTACCTTAACCAAACTCTAATTTCTGCAAGTGGCACTTTATATAAGTTTTCAATTTGATTGGAGCTTTGATTTAAGTTTCCCAATGTGTGGGTTTTAGATACATAACAGTGAATTTTATTTATCGTATCTGGATGAAAAGTGGAAGATTTGTCTTTGTAAACTGTGATATAGTTTAATAATTTCACTAAATTATAGATATTAAATTCCATGCAAATAAAAGTAGAATAATAGCACAAACAAATTTTCCACTCACTTGGAATGACTTTATATACCTACTACTACTATGCTATAAGTTAGTATCAAACCATAAAATGAAAAATAAGCCATGTGAGCAATTTTAATCCATAATCGGTAGCAGCGATGTGTGTTCAAAACGTGCCCAACGATAGCGGCCCATCTATCACTGACAGTACAGTAAAAACTGGCTTAAACAGCGTAAACCGAATATCAAATACTCCAAGAACGATGGTTGATGCTCTGAATTACCTTTTTTAGGGATAATACCAAGAATTATAGCGGTATTTACTGCCAAATTATGTTAAAATCAACAGAGCGTTACTATTTATTTTTTACAGTATAGTTTTTAGGCATTTATGGTCTCGATTATATATTTTCATCCACAGTGAAAATAGTTTTTATTTTTGGATATTCAATTTGTTTATTCTTTTGAAATAAAAAATATTTTACGTGATATTTATGTCTTATAATAGATATTTAGTTACCACCGGGTTTGTAAATTGAGTTGCAGTTAATGTTAGCTTTTAATGCAGTGTCAATGTCGAAATAGTTACATTTTAAGCTACATTTATCTAAAATACAACAAGAACTCTGGAAAAAAAAAAAAAAAAAGGTTTCACCATAAGTCCTACGACTCTGAATCTAGATCGAGATCAGTCCTAATACTAGCAAACATAGAGACCTGAGTGTATGTAATATGTACTCGTGTACATATTACATACACTCAGGTCTCTATCATCGAAAGGGTAGTCAGAGTCGTATTAAATGCCAACATCGTTCCGACTATGTTTTAGTTCTACTTATGTAATAGGGAGGAAACCTATTGCTTTCTGCCGGGTACATATAATAATAATAATATATCGCTTTATTGTACACCAGATATATTATACAATAATTTTCTTAAACGAGGTTCGTACAAGTGGCGGCCTTATCGTTCAGAAGCAATCTCTTACAGGCAGCCGTGGTATAGAGAAAACATGAAGGGGAGGAGGTATTGGGTAGTGGCTGGTGTATTACGAAATAGAAAAGAAGATGAAATCAAAGTATATTAATTACACATAGCATCAATTTGTTGGACTAAGGTGAATATATAACATACTAGAGGGAATATACTATGTGCTGAACACGGCTGGTGGTGTTATTATATACATATAATTAAATAAATACATGTGATTTATAAGTTTTAAATACATATAATATAAGAAATAATGTGACCTTGTCGACTTAGTAGAAGTTAATTGACATTGACGTCTCCCAGGTATTCTTTCACTTGTTTCTTGGAGGAGGCAAGTATTTGTGCACGTCTGATAGCGACCGGTAGGGCGTTCCACAAATGAACCGCTTGGACAGAGAAGAAGGCGTCGAGAAATTTAGCGGAATGTCCCGGCATTTTAAGAATTAGGTTCAAAGGAAAAGGATTAAATAGAATACTATAGAGAAGAGAAACATATATCCATTCTGGCGAAGGCGAATGAGTAACCACTTGAGCTTTTCGCGATATTCAAAAACATGATCATATTTGCGAAGTCCAAATATGAACCTTATGCAGAGATTTTGAAGTCTCTCAAGCTTATTCAATTTGTCTTTGTGTAAGATCTAGATAGCTGGCATCAGCATAATCAAGGATTGGGAGAATAAGGGATTATGCAAGAGCTATCTTGGTTGGAGTAGGTAGAAAGTTGCGAAGTCGGCGCAAAGAGCCTGCAGCGGCAAACATTTTGCAACTCAGCTCTAGTAACTGAGGTCCCCAAGATACTACCACAGTATCAACTACCACAGTACGGAAAAAGCATGCCGTGTACAACACACATGTGTAGTCAATTTTGGAGATCATTCTCAAACTTCCAGCGACAATGACCTAAGTTTTAGTTGTCTTGATTTCCAGACCGTGGGAGTTGCTCCACCTACATATTTTATCTAGGTCAACGTTTGTGGTAGTAACAGCATCAACCAGATCAACCGGTGTAGCCTTAGAATAGATCTGGAGATCATCCGCGTATAGGTCGTAGGAAGAAGATAGATCATTAGTGATAGTGTTGATAAAAAGAGAGAAAAGTAGGGGAGATAGCACGCCGCCCTGCGGTACACCGGGTGTGCTCTCAATACTAATGCGCTGCCGGCGACCAAGCAGGTAGTTGCGAAGCCAGTCAATCGCAGTTGGAGATATGTTAAAAGTGCGTAATATACACAGCAAAACGTCAAAGTCGACTATAGTTCGAAATAAACATAACATTATAAAATTACTTTTCGCAGACGAAAACTTTTAAATTCTACTTTTCTAGTAATACACTATCGCTACACCTAATGAAAAAAACTTTAAACAGTTATTTGGAACTAGCTAAATAATATCAAATGCTGGATCAGTCTAAACGTCACTTCACCACCCTAAGTCTCCCCCTGTCGAATTGACTTCTCGCCTGATGCCTCCACAAATTTCCGTCACCCAAGCATTTCTAATAATTTCACGAGCTCATCAGAAATACTAAGCAGTCATACCAATCATTAATTATTTAAGAAGATCTTCATTAAAGTGGGTGAAATATAATATTAATTGAAGTTTCTAAGTCACCTTTTACAGAACTTTGCTTAATTAAAATTTGAAAATTAATATGACTTTGGCGTATTAGTTTTATCGAAACCTAAAGTTTGACGCGTCGAGATGTAAAAATTTAAATTATAAACTGGCATTTACTTTTTAAATCAATAGTTTTGGAAAGTCAACATTGACAGATATTTACTTTAATGACTATTTAGGAGGAATTAGCTCAGCTTAGGTAGGTATATAAAATTCCCCATAGTTAAGATGTAGGAAAGACCTACTGTCATTCCTAGGTCTTAAGTATGGGGAATTTTCTATACCTACAGAACCTAATTTTGGTATCTACGAGTATCTACCTAAAATTTAACATATTTTCAAACATTGAACTATAATTTAATTTGTCAGTATCTTGTTAGGAGTTTATGCAATAGAAGGGTTAAAAATAATGATAACAACAAAATGGCCTCACTTACGCTGTCAGATATTGTCGTATATTATAAAAAACTAAATAGTGCCGAGCTACGTTACATATTTGCAGCATTCCTTAATTTCGCCGGAACATCCCTTTCATAAATTATAACGAGGTTGGAAGTAATTACATGACTTTGGTCATAATTTAACCCTAGATTGGCTCTTTGATTTAACTACAGTATTTAAATCTCGGTCGAAAGTGTGATGATAAAATAATGTTTTACAAAGCTGTTACACTCAGTTTGATGACGCCACTGTTAGCAACATATAATGAATGCTTCGACAGGAAAATAATCTCTACTTTTAAAGATGATAGTTTTTTTTTTATATTTTCAACAAAAATGAGAATTGAAACAATACAACTTTGTAGTAATATAATCCTTTTGGTCAGACTACATACGCAATAGGCGGTGCGACCCCAGATATCACTTCCGGAGTCTGGCTTAAGCCTTATGTACACACCCGAGGCCTGGGATACCAGTAGGTACAAGTTTGTCTTTTCCAAAGTAGAAGTATCCTAGGCACATGGCTGCTTAGAATCTTCTTCTTCTAATCGTGTTCTCTTCTCTTTCTCTTCTTTAAACGGTTTCTGCCCAGTGCTCAACGACGATGGCGTTTGGCATTGCTTGGTATAGGTCGTCCAACATACATGCTTTAACAAATAGCCCATCATCTGTCGAAACGCAACTTGCAAGGTGCGAGAGACTGATCTATCGTATAGACCGGATACAATCGTCAGTGACATTTTAAAAAATGTTCAAAATTTTCGGTTTAAATTGTTTCATAAATGAAGTTTAGAAACATCAGTTGGGTTGATGTGAAACAAAATATTTATTCGTGGATGTACAACAGTTCCGCCTGTTTTATTGATATACATATATTATATCCCTTAGAAGTGAGCAGTGTTTTCACGTACAGGGTTAGAATGTTATTGTATCAGTTTTCTAACAAGAGTGGAAAAGAAAATGTAGTGATACATGACTGTTAGATTTTATTATCAAAAGGATCTGAACACAAAACTTTACTACTTCTTGAATTTTTGTTGGGTAGCTGTCATATAATATAGCAACAATAACACATGGTATTGATCCCGAGTTTTTTGAGGACTAGTTAAAGTTTAATCTTTTACATATAAAGATTACATTGCTATAAATATGTGTCATGTTAGATTTTTTCTAAGATTAGTGTTTGTGACTGTTTTCATTTTCTATGATTAATACTTGTAGCAAGACGAGACAAATATTACACGTCAAGCTAATGAACTAACCTATATGTTTGTATAAGGATCTATACCAGTGCGACTCGATTTGGCCTGATCTATTACTTATTTTTTCTCTATTATTAATGGATTTTAGTTTGGAGCATGCGACGTGGGGCATACATTTATTTTTAT